TGCGTAGGTGTTGCATGAGGTCAAACCACTTCCTTGGCAAGGGATTATTGAAATGCCTGAGTTTGTGAAGAAATGGTGATAAAAAAAAACACCACAGACGTTGAAACGTTGACATGTTGCGTACTGGCCTATCCTTGCACAGTTTCGGGCCATCGAACGCACAAACAAGCGTCACGTGCTGCATAGTTGTGCGAATTAACTCAAACCAGTTCCTATGGCAAGGTAATTGATTGAATTACCTGAATGTGTGAGAAGATTGTGCTAGAAAAACAACCACGATGAAACGGTGACATGTTGCGTACTACCTATCATTGCGCAGTTTCAGGCCATCAAACGCACAAACAAGCGTCACGTGCTGCGTAGTTGTGCGAATTAACTCAAACCAGTTCCTATGGCAAGTTAATTGATTGAATTACCTGAATGTGTGAAAAATGGTGCTAAAAAAACAACAGACGATGAAACGGTGACATGTTGCGTACTACCTATCCTTGCACAGTTTCAGGCCATCAAACGCACAAACACGCGTCACGTGCTGCGTAGTTGTGCGAATTAACTCAAACCAGTTCCTATGGCAAGTAATGGATTGAACTACCTGAATGTGTGAAGAAATGGTGCTAAAAAAACACCCAGATGATGAAACGGTGACATGTTGCGTACTACCTATCCTTGCACAGTTTCAGGCCATCAAACGCACAAGCGTCACGTGCTGCGTAGTTGTGCGAATTAACTCAAACCAGTTCCTATGGCAAGTTAATTGATTGAATTACCTGAATGTGTGAAGAAATGGTGCTAAAAAAAACAACCAGACGATGAAACGGTGACATGTTGCGTACTACCTATCCTTGCACAGGTTCAGGCCATCAAACGCACAAACAAGCGTCACGTGCTGCGTAGTTGTGCGAATTAACTCAAACCAGTTCCTATGGCAAGGTAATTGATTGAACTACCTGAATGTGTGAAGAAATGGTGCTAAAAAATAAACCAAACGACGAAACGGTGACATGTTGCGTACTGGCCCATCCTTCATCAGTTTCGGGCCATCGAACATTGCGATGTATATTCAGAGGTAACATGCATACGATAATTATTTGATACTACCCTAGCAAATAGTAGGGTGATTGTGAGTGTTTGAAGGGATTAGCAACAATACTTTCACATACATTTACGAATCTAAACAGAAGTAAATATGTATTCAACAGTTTCAGTTCTAACAGTCGATTCGAATCATATCGCGAATCTAAAATCACGCGCCATGAGATGACGTGGCAAACGAAAATCGTGACCACGGGAAGACCTTCACAGTTATCCACAGCATTCCGCAGCATTCCGCAGCTCTCTACCCGAGCGAGCCGCCCCGTCAGGCAACGTCAGGTTCCTGCCAGTAAACTGCCAAGTTCTTCCAGCCTCAAACCTGCCCATTTCCCCTGAAATTCGCGATCCCAGACAATCACGGAAATCACCCACAACAGACAAAAACCGCCAGTTTACCCCCGCGTCCTAAGTCACAACCCTTCCTCACAGTAAACGGCCAATTACAGGGCGCTCGACAACCCAAAAAAAAAGCTAAGTACTCGTCCACCGGTTTTCGGCAGAACGACATTTTTCGTCCTCCCTCCAAGTACAACGACTACGCTACGGTAGCCGTTGGGGAGACGGATAAGGAGGGCGCGGCATTTTGCTTCGCAACCAAGGGTGATGATGAACACGCGAAATATCTCATGGAACCACCCCCTAAAGATTCATCCCGTGCATGCTATGAGCATGTTGGTTTGCACACCTAGTGGGTTGGGTGCAAGGGGGAGTGTTGGAGATTACGTGTGTTGGAAGCAAGGTGGTGGTGGGGCGTTTGTATGCCCCCAACCCACCGAATGTGTGACTTGTGCTCACCTTCGAGTGAGTTGCAGGTTTGCGTGGGGTTGAGGATTGACTTCGGAAGACCCATTCGATTCGGTGCCACATGGCAGCACCAGGAACATTCGAGACCCAAGGAGAATTCGGATCGGTGAAATTCGAGAGTCGAATTTCACCCTTTCGATGTTACTCGAACATTCGCGAGTGTAGCGGTTCGAGGTTACTTGTGCGATTCGATCTTGTTTGCATGCTATAAATCTGTTTTCTTTGTATTGCATGCCATCATAGTGAAACTCAGAGTTCTTTGTACAAGGTACATTCGAACACAAATTCCAGAGAGCTTCTTGCATTCAAGAGCACCACCTAGCACGTGAACGCCTATATCTCGGAGAATACTTAGGCGATCGACGTGTTTGACGGCTCGTTGGAAAGCTAAGACAGAGCTCTATCGTTTAGAACAACTCCTAGTTCCTGCAAAGTAGAGGAGAGTCCTCTACAACAGTGGTATCAGAGCTGGTCGGAGTCTACTACGCGCGACAAGGAGCACGCATGATGACTTCAAGCGAGGCCTCCCGCACTTCCTTGGATGGTGTCGTTGTAAATTCCGGCGAACCCTGGGCAACCGCGACGATGTTCGACACGTCGGCGGTACCGATTTTCACGGGACAAAACTACTCTCCGCGTGGAAGTTTAAGTTCCAAGTGCTCATGATGGAGCGGGGACTTTGGGGTTTCTTCGATGGAACGGAGAAGAAGCCGGACGATGAGAGCGGCATCGCGGCATGGAAGAAGAAGGACCAAAAGGCGTTCGCTACGTTGATTTCGCGCATCGGCATCAATCTCGTGAGCTCGGTGCGCATGTGCATCAAGCTCGAAGCGTCGGCGCATGAAGCGTGGAAGCGGCTCGAGACCATCCACGTGAACAAGACTCTCTCCACGGCAAGATCCTAGCCCGGAATGCGTTCTACACGGTGAAGATGCGCGCGGGCGAATCGATGCACGAGTTTGCGACTCGTGTGGAGGAACTCGGGGAAACGTTCATGAACCTCGGTGGAACGGTCACGGAGGAGGATTGGATTCTCACCTTGCGTTGCGGCCTTCCGGAAGAGTGGTCGACGGTGATTACGACACTCGATAGCGTGCAAGACACTTGGACGAAGGAAATGGTGGTTGGTCGGCTTCTCCATGAAGAATCGCGTCGCCGACAATTCGCTAATGAGAGCGAGGGTGCCGCCATGTACTCCGGAGGGAGTTCCGGAAAGAAGTCCAAGTGGAGCAAGGACGCAACGAAGGAATCGTCCGGTGGGAGCGAGCATCGCGGCAAGTGTCACTATTGCCGCAAACCGGGACACTTTTGGCGTGAGTGTCGAAAGCGGCCGAGCGATTGGACTCCATCGATGGCGCGGGACCAAGAGGGCAACGCGCACACGGCATCCGGCGAGGCCGATGATTCAAAGGAGTCGCTCGTGTTAGTGGCCGGCAACGGGAACAAAACTCCAAGCGACGCGTGGTTCCTCGATACCGGCGCAACGCAACACATGACGCACTCGGCGTCGCTCCTCAACAACATTGGCGCTCCGGGAGACGTCACGAGCATCGTGTTCGGAAACAACGAATCGCTACCGGTGGTCGGAGTTGGGAGTACGCGCCTCATCGTCGATAGCGGTCCGGTGGACGTGACGAACGTGTTTCACGTCCCGGGGGTGAAGGTGAACCTTCTATCCGTCCCACAACTTGCGAAGAAGGGAGTGATCGCCACGATCGACGGTGCGAAAATAAACCTCTTTTGGAAGGGGGAGCAATTCGCGCAAGGTGTTCTCAACGGAGATATCTACCAACTCAAGACGTACCCGAGAGCGGCTTCATCCAACGTGGCGCAAGGCTCCAAGGCGACTCTCAAGGCGTGGCATAATCGGCTTGCGCACGCCAACTACGACTCGGTCAAGGAGTTGGCCAACAAAGGACTTGCGAAGGGAGTCGACGTGATCGCCGGCGACGACGAGAAGGGCGTGTGCGCGGCGTGTGTCGAAGGTAAAATGGCTCGCAAGCCATTCGGTAGCCGAACGTCACCCCTCGCTAAGGACCCGCTTGCACTTGTTCACATGGACGTGTGTGGACCGATGCGGCATGCATCAAAGGGAGGAGCGCGGTTCCTCTTAGTGATGCTCGACGACGCGACGCGGATGTGTTTGGACCCGACTTTTGAAGGCTAAGGGAGATGCGGTCAAGGCGATTCAAGAGTGGGCGCTCGAAGTTTGCGACGATGACAAGAAGCGGATCAAGTGTATTCGCACCGATGGTGGTGGCGAATTCGTGAATGCGGAGCTCGAGAAATGGATGAAGTGCAAGGGCATTAAGCACGACGTCACAACACCCTACACACCCAACAAAATGGAGCGGCGGAGCGGCTTAATCGCACGTTGGTGGAAGCCGTTCGTTCTCTTCTTCAACACTCCAAGCTTGGGAAAGAGTGGTGGGGCGAGGCGAGTTCGCTAGCGGCGTGGATTCGCAACCGTTTGCCGACGAAGGTGCTCCCGGGAATGACTCCGTTCGAAGCATGGACCGGAACGAAGCCGAACCTATCCCGCCTTCGCACCTTTGGGTGCCTTTGCTACTACCATGTACCGGATCCCCTTTGCCACAAGTTGCAACCGAAGGCTCGTGCGGCGATCTACTTGGGAATTGCGGCGAACTAGCGTGCGTGGCGAGTGTGGGACTTGGGCGACAAGTGCGTCGTCACGTCTCGGGACGTGGTCTTCGATGAAGACAAGTTCCCGTCGAAGGAGAAACCCACTCAACAACTCACCTTCATCCTTCCGCCACGAGAGGAGGTTGAAGAGAGTGAGACTCCACCTCAAGTGGAGAAGGAAGCCGATGGAGGGGGAGCGAACAACGAGGAGAGCATTGATGATGTCGTGGAGGTGTCACCAACCGAGGCGGCAACTACCTCCACACCTTCCTCCCTACCATTGGCCTTGACCCGCGAGCGTCGTGAGGTTCGTCCTCCCTCCAAGTACAACGACTACGCTACGGTAGCCGTTGGGGAGACGGATAAGGAGGGCGCGGCATTTTGCTTCGCAACCAAGGGTGATGATGAACACGCGAAATCTCTCATGGAACCACCCCCTAAAGATTCATCCCGTGCATGCTATGAGCATGTTGGTTTGCACACCTAGTGGGTTGGGTGCAATGGGGAGTATTGGAGATTACGTGTGTTGGAAGCAAGGTGGTGGTGGGGCGTTTGTATGCCCCCAACCCACCGAATGTGTGACTTGTGCTCACCTTCGAGTGAGTTGCAGGTTTGCGTGGGGTTGAGGATTGACTTCGGAAGACCCATTCGATTCGGTGCCACATGGCAGCACTAGGAACATTCGAGACCCAAGGAGAATTCGGATCGGTGAAATTCGAGAGTCGAATTTCACCCTTTCGATGTTACTCGAACATTCGCGAGTGTAGCGGTTCGAGGTTACTTGTGCGATTCGATCTTGTTTGCATGCTATAAATCTGTTTTCTTTGTATTGCATGCCATCATAGTGAAACTCAGAGTTCTTTGTACAAGGTACATTCGAACACAAATTCCAGAGAGCTTCTTTACTTGCATTCAAGAGCACCACCTAGCACGTGAACGCCTATATCTCGGAGAATACTTAGGCGATCGACGTGTTTGACGGCTCGTTGGAAAGCTAAGACAGAGCTCTATCGTTTAGAACAACTCCCAGTTCCTGCAAAGTAGAGGAGAGTCCTCTACAACAGGAGTTGGGTCCAGGATGATATCTGAGAGTTCTCAAGAATCGCTCATGAAGGGGAAGGAGGTGACGATTGGGTGCCTTGTCGCAACGGACGTCGCTGAAGGCATTCACATGCTCGCAGGTGGGTTGACAGCGTTGACTGAGTAGACTGGGGCCCAGAAAGGTGTGTTGACTGGGTTGATTGAGTAGACTGAGGGGTCCAGAAAGGTGTGGTGACTGGGTTGACTGAGGGTCCAGACGTGAGTTGACTGGGTTGACTGAGGGTCCAGGCGTGGGTTGACTGGGTTGACTGAGGGGTCCAGCATGGTGGGTTGACTGGTTTGACTGAGGGGTCCAGGATGGTGCAATGCATTGGCGGCGGTGGGGTGATTTCAGACGTTTCATAGAAGGCTGGTTTGGTGATGGGTTACTGAGGGTTACTGAGGCGGGATGATATGCATCCTGTTGTCCGTCTGTGCATGTGCCGTCGGAACCAAGGCACATGGACAATGCTGAAGTCGGATTTGAACTACTATGGTTTTTCAGCAACAGTTGCTTGTGTTGGTGTGTTTCCCCCCTTCTCCCTCGCCATGCCTCTCCCGTGCATATGTATCTGCACGTGTGCATGGCTGCATGTGCATGTGCATGTGCATGTAGATGATGCATAGCTTATGGATGCATGTGCGTGCCTGAGCGCGTGGATGCCTGCATGTGCATTCATTCATGGCGCATGGTGCATGTGCGTGCATGTGATTACACTTCATGCCTATGCATTGCAGGCAGTGTGATGGCAGTGGATGCGATCAACAGAGACCCCTCCATCCTCCCACATCACCATCTGCGCCTCACCACGGCCAACTACTCCATGACTGCCCCCATCGCCAGCATGATGGCTGGTGAGAGAGGCATGATAATAGATGAGAGAGGCATGGATGCACGATGGCGTGTGAGAGATGCAGGGATGCATGATGGCAGGTGAGGGGCTTGGCATGGCAGCATGATGGCAGGTGAGGGGCTTGGCATGGCAGCATGATGGCAGGTGAGGGGCTTGGCATGGCAGCATGATGGCAGGTGAGGGGCTTGGCATGGCAGCATGATGGCAGGTGAGGGGCTTGGCATGGCAGCATGATGGCAGGTGAGGGGCTTGGCATGGCAGCATGATGGAAGGTGAGGGGCTTGGCATGGCAGCATGATGGCAGGTGAGGGGCTTGGCATGGCAGCATGATGGCAGGTGAGGGGCTTGGCATGGCAGCATGATGGCAGGTGAGAGGCATGGCAGCATGGAGTCCTCACTCCCTGCCACACCTGATCCGCTCTCTCTCTCCCCCATCCGCCCCCCTTACTCTAATAATATAACTCCCTCTCAGCCTACAGCGTGGTGAGGCATGCGGCCAGTGGCAGTGGTGGGGCAGCACACATCGGAGCAAGCAGCGCTGGTGAGCCCATTCGCCACGGCCACACGCTTTGAGACGTCTCACTCATTCAAAACACCCCCCACTCCCATCGCCCCAACCCACAGCCTACAGTCTGGTGAGGCAGCGGCCAGTGGCAGTGATAGGGCCGCACACATCGGAGCAGGCAGCGCTGGTGAGCCCATTCGCCACGGCCACTCAAGTGCCCTTCGTGTCCGCCTCTGCCACGGACGCGCAGCTCACTGTGGGCGGCACACGACCCTTCTTCATGCGCACTGTGCAGAGCGACGGCCACCAGATGCGCGCCATTGCCGGTGGGTGGGTGTGTGCTCTCCCGTTTTCCCTGTATCTCCCACCAGGTGAGAGCAACGGGCATCTGGTGCAAGCCATTGCAGGTACGCTGCATGCAAGCTCTCCCCCCCCACTCACCCCCCTCAAACATGAGTCACTGCCAGTACATATCCGCCATCCATCCATCCATCCATCCATCCATCCATCCATCCATCCATCCATCCATCCATCCATCCATCCATCTCCCCCATCCCCTATTTCCCCCACAATCCCCCCCCCACCTGCAACAACACAGACATTCTGGCAATATACCAGTGGAAGGCATTTATCGCCATTCACAGCGACGACCGATACGGAGGCAATGGCATCACAGCGCTGGAAGCATGCGTGCTTGCACTCAATGTAAGTATTCCGTATCCCTGCCCTGCCGCCATCTGCCCTGCCCCTGCACCCACTTCCCTATTCCTATCTTTGTCTCCGTCGCTATCCCTAACGCTATCCCTATCCCTATCCCTATCCCCCTATCCGTTATCCCTATCCCTATCCCTATCCCTATTCCTATCCGTATCCCTATCCCTATCCTCATCCCTATCCCTATCCGTGTCCCTTTTTCCTATCCCTATCCCTATCCCTATCCCTATCTCTATCTGTATCCGTATCCCTATCCCTTTTCCTATCTTTATCCCTATCCCTCCCTATCTCCATCCCTGTCCCTGTTCCTATCCCTATCCGTATCACCTATCCCTTTTCCTATCCCTATCCCTATCCCTATCCCTATCCCTATCCCTATCCCTATCCCTATCCCTATCCCTATCCCTATCCCTATCCCTATCCCTATCCTTATCCCTATCCCTATCCCTGTCCCTGCTCCTGTCCCTATTCCCCCTTCCCCCTTCTCTCTATCCCGGCCCTGCCCCTACTCCTCCTGGCAGCATGTCTCTGTGATAGTCGTCAGCCAAATCGTCCGAACCATGTTACTCATAAGCCACAAACAAGGGGTCGTTTCCACCCTATTTACTCCTCATCTCGTGTGGCCATCACCTTTCAGGGAACTTAGGAGCAGAGAAGGGGATACGCCCACTCCTGCTGCATGGTTTGGGCACTTCAAATCGCTTTTTTGAAACTCTGCTCCCTCCCCTCCCGTCCAACCCCAACTCCCACATACCTTCTCTCCCTTCCTCTGTATGCGCAGCAAGGCATCAGCATGGCTCATCGCGTGGCTATCACCCCAGGGAGCACGGCAGCAGAGGTGCAGCAGCGCCCTGCAGGTGCTGCTGGAGGTGGACACTGCTGTGTACGTTTTGCACGCATCCACTGCCGTTGCCACGGCGGTTATACTTGCTGGTGCGTGTGCATTCATGAGACGCCTCAGGAAGCTTCTCATTTCACGCAGCAGCGCCTGCAGCAGCTGTGTGTACGTTCTGCACGAGTTTTGATGAGTCGACTCAAATGCGCCTGCTGCGGTTGCCACGGCCGTCATACTTGCTGGTGTGTGTGAATTCTTGAGGCGTGTCAGAAAGCGTCTCATTTTACGCAGCAGCAGCGCCTGCAGGTGCTGTTGGAGGTGGATACGGCTGTGTATGTCCTGCACGCGTCCACTGCCGTTGCCACGGCCGTCATTCTAGCAGGTGTGTGTGGATTTCCGTGGGGTGTGTCAGGAATCGTTCGTTTCACATAGCAGCGCCTGCAGGTGCTGCTAGAGGTGGATACGGCTGTGTGTGTGCTGCACACGTCCACTGCCGTTGCCACAGCCGTCATTCTAGCAGGTGCGAGTGGAGATTGTGTGTGCTAGTTAGAGAGGAGGAGTGCGAGTGAGAGTCGAGACAGAGTGAGGGCAGTGAGAGACAGTGTGTGTAAGGGAGAGGAACTTGAGGAAGCGGAATGGAATGAGGGGGGACATTACAGACAGACTCGTTACCAGTGGAGATACTGCACAATTGCCCCTCCCACTCTTATTCTTTCAGTATTTATCCACCTCCCTTCCCTGCCACAGCCACGTCCCTCCGCTTCTGTCCATCTTTCTCGCTGCCTGCTCCCATTGTGCAGCGAACAGGCTGGGTCTGTTTTCGGCCAACAACGTGTGGATTGCAACGGAAGGGAGTGCACTCCTCGCTGGCTCCGCCCTGCACTATGCTCAGGTCCGCTGGTCTTCCCTCATGCCCCTCCCTCAGTTTCGTGATTTGAATGCGTCGCTTCTATCCAGCTCGAATTTCTGTTTTGATTTTGGCATTATGCTCCTTACACGCTGCCTCTCTCATAACGCATTGATGCAATGAAACGGCCCTCCCCCCCCACTCCTCCCCTCCTCCCTCCTCCCCCCCGCCCTGCCCTTCCTCCCTCCCCACAATGCTCCACCCCCCAATGCTTCCTCTTCTCTTTGATGCTTCCCTCCTTCATGCTCTCCTCCCCCGTGCTCCTCTTCCCCGACGCTTCTCCGTGAACCCCCCCCACGCCTTTCTTTCTCCCCCAATGTTCCCTGGCAGGGCATGATAGTGACGGCCACGAACATCCCTACCTCCGCTCCCCTGACTGCCTTCATCTCAAAGTGGCTCACCCTCGACCCTGTGCGCTTCCCCAACGTCAGCCGCCAGGTCAGACGGGCTGTTGAGTCAGCCGTCAGCTGCTATTGTGCATCTCATCGCTCTGTTGTCCTCATCCCCAAATGCCTGCCTCTATCCCAATGCGTGACGCCTTTCCCTGCTGGATCTTTTTCCCTGCTGCATCTTCTCCCCTGCTGCTTGCACCTCTCTCCCATGCTGCACACCTCCCCATGCCACAGATGCCCATGGCCTATGCCCTGGCTTCCCACGATGCAGTCTACCTCATCGCTCACGCTCTACACTCCATCCTCTATAACAGCAGTTCCGCCAGCAGGAGCAACTCGTCATCTTCTAACACCACTACCACAACCACAGAACCCCACACTAACCTCACGGCTCTACTTGACTCGCCCTGGCCACGTCTCCATCTGGATCTGCTGCCTGATACCGGCAACGGCAACGGCAATGATACTAGCATAAGCAGCAATGGGAGCATCGGACACAATGGCAGCAGCAGCGGCAGCAGCAGCGGCAGCAGCAGCAAAAGCAGCAGCAAAAGCAGCAGCGGCAGCAGCAGCAAAAGCAGCAGCGGCAGCAGCAGCGGCAGCAGCAGCGGCAGCAGCAGCGGCAGCAGCAGCAAAAGTAGTGGTGCTGATTCGCCTCTCATCCCACCTCTCGCATCACTCCAAAGAAGCCCTTGTGAGAACACTCCTGTTCTCCCCGCCTTTCCCTCTCTCCCACACCCCCCCCACCCTCCCCCTCTTCTCCAATCCCATCCCCTCCTCCACTTGCTAAGAATCTTGCTCTTGGTTTTCTGCTGCCCCCACACCCCCAACCCCACCCCGCCCTTCCTCCTCCCCTTTTTCGCAACCACTACCTCTCTTCGCCCCCCACACCCATCCCAAGTTCTCTTACCAGTGTCTCGCTCCCCTCCTCTCACGAATCCCTCACCTCACCCACTCCCTCTCTCACCATCCCTTTCCCCCCTCCTCCAATCCCAACCCCCCCACTCCACACGCTGCAAGCAGCCATGCTGAGAATCACGTTCATGGGCGCATCAGGCACCATCTCCCTGTCCCCGTGGGGGTGGTTCTTGAGTCAACTCACAATCAACTCCCCTCACGAACCCTTCCCATCCCAATCCTCCCCCCCCCACTCCAGTGGGTTCCATGCTGCGAGCAGCCATGCTGAGAACGACGTTCGTGGGCGCATCAGGCACCATCTCCCTGTCCCCCTGGGGCGACCAGCAGAGCAACCTCACTCGCATCCTCAACATCCACCACAGTCAAGCCTCATGCTCTCCCCTCCCGACCCTGCCTTCTATCCCCCCTCGCTTCAGTGGGGCCCCATGCTGCGAGCAGCCATGCTGAGAACGACGTTCGAGGGCGCATCAGGCACCATCTCTCTCTCCCCCTGGGGCGACCAGCAGAGCAACCTCACTCGCATCCTCAACATCCACAGCCAAGCCACTGACCAGTCAACTCAGTCAACTCAGTCAACAAAGTCCCCTATGGATGCCACTAGTGCAGTCACTGGGTCAGTGAGCCTGCAAGGAAACGTGGAGGTGGTACCTGTGGGCTACTGGTCTCCCACGCGCCGCCTCTATCAAACAACAGCTGCTTCGGTGAGGCTTATGAGAGTGTGACTGCCGGAGCTGCAACTGGGAGCAGGCGTCTTTGTTGAATGCAGTGCGGAGGTGGTGTGCCTGTAAGAGACTGTTCTATCAAGCATCAGTCTGTGAAGATTGTGAATTGAACAAGTAATTAGATTAGAGGAACAACCTAGCATACATAGTTGGAAGGGAAGGTTGGAAGGGAAGGATGAAAGTGACCATAGGTTGGGTTGACCTCACTTGGGGAAGTGAGGGAACCATAGGTCAAGTGGGTTGGGTTGCCCACACTTTGTAGAAGTGAGGCAACCCTAGGCCCACTTGGCTTGGGGTAACCTCAATTGTGGGAAGTGAGGTACCCACAAGTCAAGAGGGTTGCATTTGGGGGCTCCACCACAATTGGGTGGATTGGCACCCCAAAGTGCAAGACTACACCCAAAGTTGGGTGTAGTCCCAACCCAACTGTACACCACAATTGGTGTACAGTCACATGTGTTGGCATGCTACACAATATATATTTTAACACAACCCCTTAGCATGCTAACACAAGAAGAGAACAACCCCTGAATCAAGGGGCGCCTGGGCGAGCAAGGCCAATGAGGCGGAGGAAGGCAGAGTGCGCGGGGCGAAGGAGGGCCTTAGTGAAGATGTCGGCCAAGTTGGCCTCGGTTGCAATCTTGCGAACGGCAATGAGGCCCTTCTGGACGAGCTCGCGAACGAAGAAGTAGCGGAGTTCGATGTGCTTGGAGCGGGCGTGATAGACGGGGTCCTGAGTGAGATGGATGGTGCTGGCGTTGTCGCACCAGAGAGTGGGGCACGTCTGGGGGGCGCCAAGCTCCGCAAGAAGGAAGCAGAGCCAGCGCGACTCCTGGGCGGCCATGGTGCCAGCGTAGAGCTCGGCTTCGCAGGTGGAGAGAGAGATGGCGGAGGAGCGGGTGGAGCGCCAGCTGATGAGGCCGCTGCCAAGGGTGAAGCCGTAGCCCTGGGAGGAGCGGCGGTCCGGCTGCGTGTCAGCCCATGAGGAGTCGCTGAAGCCCGAGAGAAGGGGACGGGAAGGGCCGCCGAGGGTGAGGGCAAGGTCCCTGGTCCCGCGAAGGTAGCGGAGGACCCGCTTGGCAGCTTTCCAGTGCTCCTCAGAGTGACGACCGGTGCCGACAAAGCGAGCGAGCACGCTGATTGGGTAGGCGAGGTCGGGGCGGGTGCACACCATTGCGTACATCATGTTGGTGCAACCCTACGGTTTGCACTCGGCTTGTTGTCCGTGTGCGTGAATGTGTGTGTGTATGGAATGGTATGAGGGCATGGGATAATATATATTTCATGCTTATAATTGTGTGTGAATGTTGAGTCATGATGTCGAGTGTGTGTGTCGAGTCAATAGCGAGTTATCGCTAGACGCGTGTTACGCGGTCGTTTGTGTCTCGCGCGCGGTTTCTATTTTGTCGTGCGCGGTTTCTATTTTGTCCTGTGTCGAACGTTCGGCGTGTCGCAGGTGTGTGCAGCAGACCCATCAAGAACTCAAGGATGAGTTTGTGATGAAGAGCCCGAGCCTTGGTGTCAAGCCTCAAGTGATTTCGAAGCTTGCCAAAAGGGTACACCTCAAGATATTGAAGATAGTTACATTACTTTGTGTAGTGTAACATTTCACTTGGTGTAGGCCCTAGTGAAGGGTAGTTTCGAGACCCTTCGTGGTTGGGGACAGTGTGGCACTGTTCCACATCACTGTACCTCGGCTCTTGGGGTTTGTAGGAGCTGGGAGTCATTCCCAACTCGTAACTCTTCCTATCTTGTGTTCTAAGACTATAGTGGCTGCCATAGTACCGTTCGTTCAAACCGACGCTGTGTCGTCAATTCTTTATCAAATCGTGCAATCTAAATTGATAATTGTAGACGACGTGAAGACGCTCCAGATCCAATTTGAATCAAGTCATTTGCAGCTGTGAGCAGAACGCTATCAACGTTTGAAGCCGCTGTGCAGAAATCCGTCTGTGCTCTCTATCTTTCGTTTTAGGCACATTCAAGCCTATTGTGATTATAACAAGTGGTATCAGAGCCCCTTGGAGCAGTTTCGACAATTTCTGGACCTGAGGAAAGGGGTGGCAGAGTTGCTGGTGGCAGTGGAGAAGCCCAAGCTCAAGGCCAACCCCGTGATTCAGCCATGGCGCCCATGCAACCAAGTCTTGGCCCCACCTAGGGATGAGCCTAGGGTGTTTGGGCTTGACAAGTTCAACGGTGACAACTTTGCTGAATGGTCCTTCAAGATGGAGAACATCTTTGACCACTATGACCTGCTGGAGGTGATGGAAGGAACGGAAGAAGCGCCCCGAGAACGACCCGGAGAAGAGCCCGTGGGTGCGGAAGAGCGCACAAGGCTATCTCCTACTTGGGCAAGCGTTGGGGAGCAGCCAGATCCGTCACATCAAACCATTCCAGCGTGAACCAGAGAAGGGACCAAAGGCATGGGCTGCTCTCAAGGGTGTACATGCTCCTGCAACAGCGGCGGTAGCGGTGGTGTTGGAACGGCAAATGGCGGCACTACGAATTGAAGAAGACGAAGCGGTGAAGAAGGGGTGCAGAAATTCTTCGACTTGTTGACGCGGCTTGAGGGAGCTGATTTGAACTACAGTGAGCTCCAAAAGAAGACCAAGTTGCTGGCCTTACTCCAGAGTCATGGTCCTCGCTCATCATCAACCTTAATCGCGACTTGCCCCGCCTCTCGCTTGAAGACGTGAAGCGAGCTATCCTTCAAGAGGATTTCCGCCGCCGTGAGTTGGCGAGTGCGGATGGCGCTGGGGCAGCGAGCATCGGCCGTGGATATGGTCGAGGAAGAGGCAGAGGACGAGGGGGAGGAAGGTTTGGAGGCAGCAACTTCAACGGAGGCCGCGGGAGTAGTGGATACGGCAATGACAACAAGAACAACGGACGCGGTCGCGGACGGTTCGACGGCGAGTGTCATTTTTGCCACAAGAGCGGACACATGTGGCGCGATTGCTACAAACTCCCTGATGGATGGACTCCTGCTCAAGGCCAAGAGGGTAGAGGAGCAGGAGGAGGGAGAGGAAGAGGCCGTGGAGGCCGTGGCGATCGCGGAGGTGGTGCTGCAAGTATGAAGAGTGCCGGCAACGAGAGCGAGTCGAGGGACGATCGCTTCCCGGGTCAATTCTTCTTCGTGTCCACGCAAGCACCGGCTGGTCCAGAGAATGATGAAAGCTTTGAGGAGCCAGCAGCTGTGGGGAAGGTCACCCTACACTCCCTGGACTATTGGGTGATCGATAGCGGCGCTACCTATAGCATGACACCTCGTGCGGACTTGCTCACCGAACATGAGCCGTCACCGGTGAAGCATGTGACATCGGCTTTGGGCAGCGAGCAGAGGTGAAAGGCATGGGCAAGGCCATGTTCAAGGGTGCTGATGGGAAGATGGTGGGCCTCAAGAACGTGCTTTGGGTGCCCAGCCTTGCTGCAAACCTGATTTCCGTGCGGCGGTTGCAAAAGGCCGGCATTGGACACGAGCTCGAAGGGAGCTAAGACCTACACCGCGAGGCTTGGCAAGCGGATTCTTTGGGACCTTCACGAGGATAGGGATGTCTACAACGAGATGTGGCAAATCCCTGTGGTCCCCATGCCTAAGGAGAGGCAGGTGGCAGCAAGCATCAGCACCAAGGGTGAAGCGGTTGGTAGCGGCGATGGCGCGAACGGTCCGCACTAAGGAGATAAAGTCCAAGAAGTGCAATCTTGGAGGGACCAGCAAGCTCGGTGAACATGAGGAGAGTGGTGGCAGCAGCTCAGAAGCAGCACAAGGGTGAGGAGAACCCCAAGGCAGCAGCGGAGGAGGATTACGGAGAGAACATGTGGGGCACTATTGCGAGTGCGGCATTCTCCAATCCGACTTCGGCTACGGGGGAGTGTGATTGGCTCACCTTGCATCGGCGAATGGGGCATGTGGCCCCTGCCCATCTTGCAGCAGCTAGTGAAGAAATGAGATGGGTTGCTGGCATACGTGTGAAGGGGGAGCCCGATGAGGTAATTGGCTGCCCGACGTGCATGCAAGCCAAGTTCACCCGTTTCCCGTTCTCTAGTTCGGAGGCAGACGGCTAAGGCACCACTTGATGAGGTGGTGATGGACGTGGTGGGCCCCCTGAAGCTTGGAGCTGCTGGAGCTGAGTACTTTCTCACCATTGTGGACGTCTACACTCGCATGACTTGGGTGTACGTGCTGTCCAAGAAGAGTGACGTGGCTGAAACGGTGAAGACCGATTGGTTGCCGATGGTGGAGCGGCAACAAGACCGGCTAGTGAAGGCAATCCGCACCGATCGAGGGGGAGAGTTTCTTGAGCAAGGAGTTTGGATTGTGGCTGAAGAAGAATGGCATAAGGCACTCCCTTACCAATGCCATACTCCCCTGCAATGAACGGCATCGCCGAGCGAGCGAACCGGACAATCACGGAGACGGCGCGCGGGTTGCTCATTGAAGCCGGGCTACCCGAATATTTCTGGCCTGATGCGGTGCGGAGTGCATGTGTGGCCAAGAACAGAGCTTTGACTCATGTGGGAGCAGACAAATGGGTGCCCTATGTGGAGTGGGATTGAAGGAAGCCAAAGGTGGATATGCTTCGGGTGTTCGGGTGCATGTGCATGGCGCTCGTGCCTAAGCATCTTCGGCACAACAAGCTCGGTGCCAAGGCGATATGGGCTGTGCACTTGGGCATGGCTCAAAACAGCAAGGGGTGGCTTCTTTGGGACCCATTCACCAAGAAATTCTTGGTGAGCAGGGACTGCAAATTCATGGAGAATCTGATGTACAAGGATTGGAAGGCGGAGAATGAGGCGAAGATAGGCGTGCGGTTGGGGGACGTGAAGAGTTTCCGGTTTGGAGCATGTGGAGGCTGCCCTTGGAGCTGAGCAGCGGCAGCACCACCACAAGGCAATCTTCCCTTGTGAATGGGGGAGAGGAGGCCAAGGATGCAGAGGAAGAAGAGGAGGAGGTTCAGCAAGTGGAGCGAGCGTGCACCGACACTTCCTTCTCGCACTACGAG